ACCCCAATGGCTCTTCCATGTCACTAGCCTGAGATCAGGTACCATGAGATTTGTTCAATGTGTGGATAAATTTGGATGGACTGGCTAGAGGCCCCTGTGGCACAACACTGCATGTGGAGTATAAAGATCCACACTAGGCAAATTCCAACCCCCCCCCCCGAGTGCAGGAGAAACTTTCAGATTTTAAATTATAAAAGTTATAAATTATAACTTTGATCCATTTAGAGTTGACTTTTGTTTAGGTTAAGAGATACAGATCTATGTTGGAGCATCTAAGACAAGTGATGATGGTCAAATTGGATAGCTACATGTAGAAGGATGAAACTGGATACCTATCTTTCATTTGTCACAAAACTCAACTCCAACAGATGAAGGGCGTTGACATAAGATCTAATACCCTGAATCAGATGAGAGAGAAAATAAGGAATATTCTTCAACTTAAAGACACAAGAAAGTACTTTGTGAATAGGACTCTGGTAGCCCAGTTAGTAAAACCAACAATTGACAAATGGGGCACCAGGAAAATAAAAGACTTCTGTACAACAAATAACACCAGCATTTAAATGGAAAGGTAGCCTGTAAAATAGGAAAAATATTTACCAGCTATACATCTGACAGAGCATTAGTTTCCAAAATATATAAAGAACAAAAAAAATCAAGGAAACAACTGAAATAAAGGGACATGGATCTAAAAAGTGAATTCTCAAAAGATGGGCTGAGGAACAGTTTTGTGGTTGGTCAACATTTGATCCACTACATAGATGCAAATTAAAACTACTTTGAGATTTCATCTTACCCCAGTCAGAATGGTCAAGATCAAAACATAAATGACAACAATGAGTTCATCTAGTTCTGGGCTTTTCTTTGAGGGGAGACTTCTTTTTTTAAAAGCTTTTAAAATTTTTTTAGTGTTGTTATTTTTAGTTTTTTATTTTATTTTTTATTAGTTCAAATTAGAAACAAGCTTGCTTCACATGTCAATCCCTTCTTCCTCTCCCTCCCCTCCCCCCCAACACCCCACCAGCTCCCTCTCTCCTCCCCCCACTGCTCCCCATGGAGGGTAGGGCCCTCCACAGGGGCTCCTGAGGGGAGACTTTTAATTATTACTTCAATTCATTGCTTGTTATGGGTTAGAAGCTTATCCATTTCTTTTCATAGGGAGATTCTAAGTTTTCAAAGTATGATTTTTTTTCTGATTTTCATTTTATTGTGTTCTAACACCTCCCTTTTCATGTCATTTTAATGAGTTGAATCATTTTTCTCTTTCTTTTTGTTAGTTTGACTACAAGTTTTGTCAGTCTTGTTATTACTATTTTTGTTTTGGAGATTATAATATAATTACAACATTTCTCCCTTGCCTTCTCCCCTCCAAGCTTTCCCATATAGCTGTCCCTGCTCTTCTTCAAATTCATGGCCTGTTTTTTCATTAACTGTTATTTCCTGCATGTGTGTACATACATGTGTATCCTTAACTATAACCTGTTCTGTTCATGTACTGTTTCTTGTGCATGTATTTTCAATTTCATCAACTTTTAAAAGAACTGACCATTGGTTGAGTTTTAGGTATTTTTTAAGTCTTTTATTAATTTCTGCTTTATATTTTATTTCTTGGTACTGCATTTGGGTTTGACTTTCTGTTTTTCTAGACTCTTGAGGCCCATTATTAGATTATTTTATTTTATTTATTTGAGACCTCTCAGATTTCCTCCTAGGAATGCCTTGCCTGTTTCTCAGAGATCCTGTCAAACAGTGCTATCATTTGTATTCATTCTAGAATTTTTTCCTGAAATCCTTACTTTTTCAGTGACCACTCTTCATTCAAAAATGTATTGTTCAGTCTCCTAATATTTGTGTTGTTTCTGAGGCTTCTTTTGCCATTGAATTCTAGCTTTAATTTGCTGTGATGTAAGACACAAGGAATTATTTAACGTTTTTCTATTCTTTTTTTCTTCTTTTTGTTTTTTTCAAGATAGGATTTCTTTATGTAACAGCCCTAGCTGTCCCGGATCTAACTCTGTAGACCAGGCTAGCCTTAACTCACAGAGACCCACCTGCCTCTGCCTTCTGAGTGCTAAGATTAAAGGCTTAGGCCACCACCACCTGTCAATATTTTTGTGTTCTTAAAGCTGGTTTTGCAGCATGTACTTTGATTAATTTTGGAGAAAGGGTGTATGTGCTGCTGGGAAGAATGTTTTATTTGTCTGTTGGTTGTATTATTCTTTAGATTTCTGATTATTGTAGTTGATCTATGATATTGGTTACCTCTGAAATTTCTTGGCTGTTTTTTTTTTTTTAATTTGGAAGATCCATCTAAAGTTTAATAAGTATATTTAAGTCTCAGGACTTAAATGGCTTTTTTTGCCCTTTAGATTTTATTTTATGGAATCAAGGGACTCAAGATTTGGGGCATAAATATTTGCAATAGTTAAATTTCCATTTTGATAAATTGTTCTATTTATTAATATGCAATGCTCATTTTTATATCTTCTGGTGAATTTTGGGTTAAAGTATATTTTATGAGACATGAGAGTTGCTTTGCCATCTTTCTATTTATGTAGCTTTCTTGGAGACAATGGATAGTTAGATCTTATTGTTTGTTTTGTGTTGGTTAGTTTGAGTCTGTTCACTTTGCCTTTATGATTATTGTTAAGATGAACTTGCTATCTCCTGTGTTTCTGTTGGTTGTACTTCTGGCAGATGAGATTATTGGTAATCTCTTTCTTCACCTGTGTCTGCATTAGGAGTTTTACAGATTCCTGTGTGGATTGTCTTCTCTGTTCATCTGTTTCTGTCATGACGTGTGTACTTTCCTGCATTCTCGTGGATAAAATTCTTTCCTCTTCTTCTCTCATATTAAGAATTTTTTTTTCTATGCTGGCTATGCTTTCTCAAACCGTATTACCTTGTGATTGTGTTGAAATGTTCTCATTTTACTTTCAAATTTGAAATAAAAATGCTGAGGATAGCGATCTTGGTTGATAGTTATTTACTTTAGCTATCTCATTCTCTGCTTTCCTGACTTTCAGGTTTGATGATAAAAGACCTGAAATCATTCTGCAATTTCTGTTTTTATGTGTGAGCTGATTTATTAACAGCTCTCATCATTGCTTTTTGACATCCTGACTATGATATGTTAGGAAGAAATTCTTTTCTAATAATGTCTATTTGGGGTTCTTAATGCCTCTTCAATTTTGATGAATATTTCTTTCTCTAGTTTTGAGAATTTTTTTCCTGTAATCTGAATGAATAAATTGTCTGAGCCTGGAGATACCATCTTAGCTCTTTCCTCTACCCTGTGGATTCTTTTTCATTTTTTGATTTTATTTTACATTCCAACCACAGTTCTCCATCCCACCCCTCCTCCTAGCCCCCCTTGCCTCTTCCTCACCCATTTCCTTTCCCCCTAGCCCACTCCAAGTCCACTCCTCCTCATGGATAAGGGCTCCTGTGAGGAGTCAACACAGTCTGGCACAATAGGTTGGGGAAAATAGGCAGATGGAGAATAGGCAAGAGCATCTTGTAGTCTATTGAAATGGTTCAGATGAACAGGGTCCCCTCATGAGCTTAGGGAATGTTAATATATATGAGGAGGATTTAATCCTGTTACTTTTACTCGGGAGAGAAGATTCCTAGAGAGGTGAGCATTGGGGCTAAGTGGGGCTGTAAAGCCTTCTGAATTCTGTCCAGCTGGTTGAGTTTGAATGTCCATGGATGCTTCAATGGGGATGTCTCTGACATACCCTCATGCCTGTAGTAAAAATAACTTTATATAACTTGAGACATTCTGTCAACATGATATGACTAAACAGCCAAAGGCAAGTAATTGAGGTGTTAAAGGTAGGGAAGGACAGTTAAAGGCTCTGGTGAGACAAGAGCCTAGACTTTTTTTTTTTTTTTTTTTTTTTGGTTTTTTGAGACAGGGTTTCTCTGTGTAGCTTTGGAGCCTATCCTGGACCTTGCTCTGGAGACCAGGCTGGCCTCGAAATCACAGAGATCTGCCTACCCCTGCCTCCCAAGTGCTGGGGTTAAAGGTGTGCACCACCAATGCCCGGCCCAAGTGCCTAGACTTTTGACGTGAACGTTGGCAGTAAAGGCTGCACACGTGTCATGGAGGCAGGGTATAGCAAGAGGGTAACAGCTGTGGGGACTGCTGACCACTCTTTGTCTACCATAGTTGGCATTTTTCACTCTGTACTTACTGTTAGTTCCGTCTTTACTTGCTTTAAAGACACAGCCATTTTCTCTTCTGAGACTCATACAGAGGCTGCCTCCACTCCCTGCTTTGTGCAGCATTTTGTTGTTTTACTAAAATCTTCTCAAGGCATGCCATAAGATTCTCAGAAAGCACAAGGAAAATCTTTAGTTCAAAAACAAGGAAGGAGAATCTGGCAGTATTTACCAAAACCAAGGAAGAGCGTCCAAACTTACCAGGCATATTTCCAGCTCCTCTCCCCTCATGAGGAGTTGGACTGTGGTGAGAAGCATAGAGCTTTGCTCTGCTGTGGGCTAAGAGTGGAGGCTGTTTGACTAGTGCAAGATGCTATTTAGTTAAGATAGATAGACCACTCCCACCAGCTAGAATAAAAGCCCCCATTCAGGACTGTTGTGCAGTGTGTGTGTGTGTGTGTGTGTGTGTGTGTGTGTGTGTGTGTGTTGAATATCATTAGAGATAGAAAAGGATAAAGTAAGTACAAGATCACAGGGTTTTCAGGATTTATTACATATTATTTGCATATTCACAGATTCAGCCACAATACTAGCAATGAAGTCAAAGTTGCTATGCTAATGACAGCTCTCCATTCCCACCCCAGGAAGAGACTCTGATATCTAAGGTAGAGATTGAGCTCCTTGGGGTGGATGCTGGGCCATAACTGTCCTGTTTCCCAGCTTGACATAGGCATAAGAAGGTCAAGGCTACAGGGATTCATGGATGAGTGGGTCAGCCAGGGACCTGAAGGAAGTGTGGTGGAAGGCTCTCTTCCCTTGTGTGGGAAGCCGGAAGAGTCTCTGGGACACTGGGGTGGTTGCTTTAGTTTTGGTTCCTGGATCTGCCTCTGTTTCTCTGTAGTGAGCAAGCCATCTCCTTTCACAGGTTGGGTTGGCTGAGTCTCTTGGACTTGGCCGGCGCTTGGTACAACTTACTCTATCTGCTTCCCCTGATGTGTCAGGTGCTCTGGCGGTTCATTCTTCTGCTCCAGTCGCTCATCTTTCTTCATTGGGTCTTGATCCAGTCGCTGGTCCAAGAGCTCCTTCTCCTGTTCTAGGTGTGAGTCGTCAAAATGCTTCTCCCTTGGGGATTTCTCTTGCTTAAGTGACTGACCTAGGCTTTGTGTTCCTTGGTACCCTTCATGCTCTGTCTCTTGCTGCGGCTTCTTTCCCAGGTGCAGTTCTGGCTCCTGCAGCTTCTCTTTCTGTTTCTGGTCCTGTCCCAGGGGCAGTTCAGGCTCCTGTGACTCCTGACCCCGCTCCTTTCCCAGGTGTAGTTCAGGCTCCTGTGACTTCCTTTGCTGCTGCTTTCCCAAGTGCACTTCTGGCTCCGGTGACTCCCGACTCTGCTGCTTTCCCAGGTGCGGTTCTGGTTCACAGTGCTTCTTCTGCTTCTGTCTCTGTCTGAGATGCAGCTCCCGTGACTCCTGGTGCTGTTCCAGCGGCAGCTCCTGCTGCTCCTGCTGCTGCTGCTTCTGTGCCAGCTGCAGCTCCGGTTTCTGTGGCTCCTGGTGTCTCTGCTCCTGGTGTAGCTCCTGCTTCTGCAGTTTCTGCTGCTTCTCTCCTGGAATCAGTTCCTGCTCCTCAGGAGTTTTCTGCTGCTGACCCGCGTGCGGTTCTAGATCCTGCTGCTTCTCCTTTCGATGCTGTCTCAGACTCAGCACCTGTGGTTCCAGTGTGTCCTCCCGCTGCTGCTGTTGTCCCTTGCACAAGCCTTGTCTCTGTGGCTCTTGATGTCGGTGCTGCTCCACGTGCAGTTCTTGCTCTTGTGGCTCTTGCTGATGCAGCCCCTGTGGCTCCTGTGGTGACCTCTGCTTCTTCAAGTGAAGCTCCTGCTCCTGCAGATCCTGCTGTGGCTTTCTCACAGACAGCTGCTGCTCCTGTGGTCGCTGCTGCTGCTGCTGCTGCTGCTGCTGCTGCTGCTGCTGTTGCTCACACTCTTGCCTAGGAAGCCCCTCCACAGTTGTGCCCTTCTCCTCTTGTTGTGTGGAGCCCTTCTCTTGGGTCTCAGAGAATACTTTCTGGCAAAGTGCAGGTTGTGAAGTTGGCTGCTTGGTTTGTTCCAACTTTAATTGAGCTGGAGGACACACAGTCTTGAGGGATTCCTGAACCACAGATGGTACAGTCACTGGCAATGTGTGTTGCTGGGACATCTTGGAATCCTGTATAGACCAGACTAAAACAACAACAACAAAACAGAAAGATCAGAGGTTGGACTGAAGGCAATGGAAATAGATGAGCCACTGATTATACAGGATATACATAGTGTCCCCGTTTAATGACATCCTTACTCCTGAATAGGGCATTTTCCAACTTCCACAAGCTGTGATTCCGGGAAGCAGAAGAGAGTGAAGGGTGGGAATGGTGAGGGCACAGAAAAGTTCTCCTATGAGCTCAACAGAGGGGCCTTTCTCCAAAGAGGTTCTGCAAGAATGGACTGGCTGTTAATTAACTTGCTTTTGTCTAGTCTTTCCCTGGGTCCTGGGAAGATGAATTCTGGGATTATCTCACAGTGTGAAGGAAACATTTGAAAAAGAAAGATCTCACAGAGGACCCCAGAACCCTGCAAAGCTGAGCATCTGTGCTGGAGGGAAGCTGGGAGGCCCTTGCAACAGCATTGGACTGGAGACATTTAGCATATCCCAGGCCCGACACCCACCTAAACACTGTAGATTTCTGGGCAACCCACTTAGTCTCTCTGGGATGCATATTTTTTCTCTGAAAAATTAGCATACTGGTCTGTTCTGCCTGAGAGCTCCTTTTCCCTTGATCTTCTGAGAGCAAGCTGTAGCCCCAGGGGCAGGGGTGAGGAGTGAGGGGTGGTTGTAGTTAGCGGGAACTGGGGCTTGTTATGACAAGTCTTGTACTTCTATTAGGATTTCCAGGCCCCTGTCTGCCCAGGTTTCTCCACACATAAAATACTATTGCATATTTCCCTCTGCACACTAAGCCACCCCTTGAAGGATAAGTAGTCTAGCTGAATCTAGCACCATAGCAATATCAACCCCCGGTTGGAGTAGACAACCCTAGCTATGATCTGACCTGTTGGAAGCCTACAACCACAACTAAGGTCCCAGCAGCTAACACTCTGTCTAACACTCACCAGACTCACAGAGAAGAGAAGGCAGAAGCTTCCAGTGGAGTGCTGAGCTGAGCAGGCATCAGGTGCCTTTATATTCCCGCCTAGTCTCCTTCTCAGGTTGGAGGTGGTGGACTGGTTTCACCACTTTAATTGGTCAGCTTCCTCCAGCTCCTTCCTGACTCACCTGATATCTTAGGCAGCACCCCCACCCCAGGGCTCCCTTTTCCAGCTCCTGTCTGACCGTGGGAGTGTGAGGGCTCAGCCACTTCTGGTTGAGATCATCTGACCTGGGCATTGAAGAGGAAAAGGGGGTGAGAAAGGTATCATACTTTACAACTTCAGCCAAACTTGTCTTTCAGTCTCAATGGGTTTGGCCTGATTTTCAAGTTGGAAGATCTATTTCCAAGGGCATAGAATGAGAAACTTTGTGTTTTGGAGATAGCCAGGCCAACATATCTGGTAGTACAGTGTAAGGAATCACTTCTGAAGGAAGGGACATGTGGTGGGCCTTCTACTGGGCTAGGAGCCCATCTGTACTCAGCATCTGTGCTCAGCATATGTCATAATTCCCTTCTGTGAGGACATACGCCGTGTTTTGGGGGAGACGTCATGTAAATGGAAGTAGGTACTTACATTGCTTCTCCGTCTGTGTGCCGGGGCTTCCCAGCCCCCACATCACACCCAAAGCTGTATTTATAGAAGTACCTGAGGATGCCACAGTCCTAGAAGCTTTGGCTTCACTCCAGGCAAGGAAAAGGGAATTGGTAGAAATCAGATATGGTGTATGCATTGCATTTCATAATGATAACCAATGCTTTCTATAATGATTTTTGGAAGTGCACACCCTGAAAGCTCACAACTAAATTGCCCATTGCCATCTCAGATAGTTTTCTTTCTTTTCTTTTCCTTTTGGTGTGTGGGGTGTGTAGTGGTTTCTGGACAGGATTTCTCTGTGTAGCCTTGCTTGTCCTGGAACTCACTCTGTAAACCAGGCCAGTGTTGAACCCAGAGATCCACTCCAGGTCTTCAGTCCCTAGGGCACATCCAAAGTGCTTTACCTCAAGGCTGGGCACCTGCTCTCCCTCTGCCAACAGGTTCCTTTCCAGGGCTCTGACATATATTCAAGCTTTGATGGAAATATTGGGGTCTGACTAGCATCCTCCTCTGACCACCATAGCTACTGGATTTTCTTCTGTCTTAATCAACTTAATAAAAATTTAGCTATTTTATTCACATTTATTCAATTTTATTATTATTTGTCTTTACCACTGAAAAGCAAGTTGTCTAAGAACAGATACATACCTGGTGTGCTTTCCACTGTCCCAAGAATCTGGCAAAGTCACCTCATACACTAAAATGCTATCAATGCTAATTGAAAGAATGAATGACAGTAAATATCACACCTAAGCATAAGTACTTTCTAGTAGTTCAATGATAACCCATTTTCATGTGTGTATATGAGTGTGCCAGGAAAATAAAGCTGAATTGTGTGGCTTAACTTTATCTTCAATGCTTGATTAACAGTTTACTTTATGGAGTTCATTCATTATCACTCTCTTACTATAACTTAATAAAAAAGAAATAGTAAAATAATGTAAAGATAAAACTGCATTTCTGGTTAATTTTGGGAGGTGTCCCAGTTCCCTGTAGTTGTCCCGAATAGCATCTAATCTTAGTCTTAAGCAAATCTGTTTGCAATACTAAATTCTCATGTTCATTGGGCTCAGTCTTTAAACAGATAGAGGACTTACAAGATCCTTTTGTTTTCTAGAACACATTTGTCCAGACCTTCTCTATTCCCAGAGCCATGCGGGATAATACAATATTCCCCTGTAGAGCCTGAACTTGCTATTTTCTGTAGCAAGAAGAGCTCTCCCCACCCCACCAGAACTAACCAAAAATCCTCACATGGGCACTGGGGCACTTATGCTCCACTTCTGACCTCACATGGAAGAAATCTCTCTCTCCTCAGCCCATGACAGTGCCAAGGCAGCAGACTGTTCAGGAAGTCACACCAGTCTTATGGGTTCCCAGAGACTCAGTATCTTCCAGATCTGGCTTCTACCCTCTGATTCAGAGCATAATAACCCTGAAAAGACAGTATGTGTGCATGAGTGTTTGACCACTGGGTGTGGGAAGGAGGGCAGAGGACGCAGCCTAGAAGCATGTGTGTGTTTGCAGGAGGAGTTGAGGATGCCCCAGACTTCTAATGCATAGAGCCCCATATTCTGCCCTCTGATTTCTCTATTTAGGGATTGGGAATGCATATGTCTAAGGCAAATCCTCTCAGCACATTATGTGACTGACTTCATAAGTCTCAGATTCTTGTGATAAATTGCAAGAAACTGTCTAGTCCTTGGCCAGTATAATGAATGTGAACTTTCCCATGACCCATGGAGAGGCCTTGACCCAGGCCTGCTTCAGCCCTTTTAGACCCCTGCCATTTTTCTTCTAGAGGCAGAAAATGCTTGATTTATCTTTCCTCCATAGTGCCCTGTTTTAATTGTTGGTTATTTGTTGGGGTGGTAGGAGAGGAGTTAAAAGGATTAATCATGGAAATCCATTACCTTGGGGGAGTAGTGGAGATGTTGAGAATAGCTCTTCATGAGTTGCTAGTCCTGGAAAGATGGTGGCAGATGGTCCTAGGGAGATGGTTTGGGCCAAAAGATCTCATGCTCCTTTTGCATGGCCATGCAGCATCTGTCTATTATTGTATAGTATGTGGAGAATTTCTGAGGATGCTAACCTCCTATCCTTTGGTCCTCAGGGTAACTGTTTCCTATATCACCTCTCCATCTGAAAACTGCCCTGCGTGCCTACTTACATATCTGGAGTCTTCTTATCTACCTCTACTGCCTATTGAATCTGACCATTTTCATTTGTGCCCTTCTCCTTCCCAGGATAGAATGAGTCTGAGGGAAAGGTGAGACCAACAATTGACACAAGAATGGGTATTTCTTTCTGGACTTTTGGGTGCACCTGCATGAACTGACCTGCTTTTCTGTATATCACTTCATCTGGCTGCCTCAAATTGGCCTGGTGAATTGCTCATTCTCACTTTTGACCTTTAGAATTGGCTCTTTCTTTTGAATCAAGTTTGAATCCAGTTGCTATGGAAAGAGATTCCATATGGCAGCAAGAAGAACAGCGGCATGGCTGGTGTTTTGGTAGTGGGAGAAAAGAGATTTGGTGGAGTAAGAGATTGTTGCTTTGGACAGAAGGGACAGTCGCTGCCCTTTTCCTTCCAGCTAAAAAGAATGGATAAAGATTTGACAAGAGACTGTGGATGAAGTTAAAAGAGGATGGAAGAAGGTGGGGGGGATGAGTATGACTACAACATGTGAAATTATCAAAGGATAAATTAATTTTTAAAAACTTGCCTTTGGGTAGTTTAAAGTGTTGCAGCATCTCCTCTATTGGGGTCCCTCTCCTTCTGGACAAATATGGACAGAAGTCTTAAATGAGAATGTAAGATCTGTCTAAAGTCTACAGTGAGTCTGTGATAGGGCTGGAACCCAGACACCCTGGCTGTGGTCTGAGGTATCTCTTCCCATCAGGCTCCTTGATAGGGTTTGAACAGCATGACAAGTTTCACTCTGTGCCTTCAGAGACATCCTCCAAGTCCCGTAAGTCAATCATTTCTCAGAAGTATGATAAATTCTGGATTTTTCTGGAGAAAGTAATAATTTGTCTGGCTCTTATTCAGCCAAAACACTCTTGGGTATTGGGTTCTGGGATGACCCTTGTTGTCCTGAGGATAGAGAGCTGCATTCCTTTATGACTCTGGTGCTTTATCTTAATCCAATCCCATCAGGAGAAAACCTGGGCTGGTGTCCCACACTTCATGTTTATAAAACCAGGATCCAAGCACCTCTTTAAGTTCCTGTGAAGATTTGGTGACATGATGTGTGTTCTTAACACATATTTGGTGCCCAGGATACCGAATGCTTCCTTGTCTCAAGTCATTACACATATGGATTGATATTCATGTAGTGTGTTACTTGCCAAAGGAGAGAATTTTAAGGAAACATGTCTTTAAAGATCATCTCATTTAGGATTGATTATCTCATT